TTCTTTCATTCATTACTATAAAATACATTATTTTATGCAAAGGGAACCCCCCTTCCCCCCCGATTGTCTTTTTTTCCGTCCATCCCCTGTTCCCACATTGCTCTTGTTGCTAGGAAACAGGAAATGTGCAGCAGTGAAATCCTTCCCTCTGAAGAGAAACTCAGTAGGTGAGCTAAAAGTTGTCGTGAAACAAAATGCGGCGAGCTCAGCGATAAACCAACAACACAGCGAACACTTCACACAAATAAAAACACGTGTCCATCTTATTATCACGCCTCGGCTTTCCGTATACATACCAAAATCACGTTGGCTCCCCGGGATTAGCCCTCGTAGCTAACTCCGCCATTGACTTGCAAGCCTGGGGAATGATCCTGGCTCCAGCTCAGATCGCATGTTTACACGGCAGCTAACGTGCTAACTCAATCAGAACTGTCGTGGTTTTACCCTGTGCTCCTAATGATTGTGTGCTGAGTCTTACATTAGCACATTTTACCATCACACGCATTAAAATGCTGCACACTTGTCCGACCGAGGGCTTTCGTCATCATGGTCCTAGAGCCGGCCCCCATCCCGCAGCCAGTCACCGTGTCTCTGCGTAAATACACCCGAGCACCAGACATTTTTTCTCCAGGCATCACCCACCAGCCATTAATGTCCCGATTCAGGTAAGAAACGCCGCCGTGTCTATCACGCCCGCACGATGCTAAAAGCAGCTATTGTTAGCGAAATCCACCCCGGGTAACGATGATGACACTGTCGGTGCAAGCGGTCCTAAAGCCAGCCATTTTGAGTTAGTTAAAAAAAATGCGTAGCAGTCAAGCTAGCGGAGAGGAATACGTACAGATCGTGTCCGGTCGTTAGCACCATCGCAGGGTCTTGTGGTGTTCGAGCCTCGTCTCCGCTCGTCCTCATGTCCGTCATTCATACACACCGATCTGAGTCATTGCAACTTCCCCTGGCATCAAAGCGGTTAGCTTATTGTCCCTGAGGTCCTAATGCCAGCCATTTTGTGATTGAATGCACACCCACATATTTCTGCTATTATGTGATCAGACACATTTCCTCCTTGTCCCTCTTCAGCCACAGTCACTGACTATTTGTCCAGATCATTCATGTCTTGTAGAGATTTGACCTGATGCCCGTGCAGCAAATCTACAATCTCATTCTGTTCATATGATGTTTATTTACATGATTATTACAAAGTCTTTTTTTATGTCATCTCTTGGCAGATGTAAAGATGGCCTCTCCTCAGCCTGGCAGCCCACCTCTTGCAGAGCAATACACTCCCCCTTCGCAGGATGAAGAGAGCCAGCCAGAGGAAGAGCTGCCGAGGGATCGGCCTGCGAAGAAACGTGGCAGAGGCAGGCCTCCAAAAGCCAAGGCTTCCTTCAAATGCTCAGCATGCACAGAGGCGTTCAGGAGTCTGTCAGCTCTGCGCAGCCACAAGCTTTCAGCGCACGTGAAGGATCGCCAGCAGGAGCCGCACACATGCTCTCAGTGCACCAAAACATTCTCGAGCAAGGCTCAGCTCTCAAAGCACGAGCGCACTCACTCGGCCCAGCGGCCCTTTCAGTGTCCTGACTGTCACAAAGCTTACAAGACCCCCACAGAGCTACGCAACCATAGCCGCTCTCACACCGGGGAGAAACCTTTCATATGCACAGAGTGTGGTAAGGCCTTCATGCAGGCTATATGCCTGAGGATCCACATGACACAGCACAGCGGCGAGCGTCCTTACTCGTGCCGTCAGTGCTCTAAGAGCTACCCCACCCTGTCTAAACTGAAGGTGCACATGCGCTCTCACACAGGAGAAAAGCCATACTTCTGTGCTGAGTGCGGCAAAAGTTTTGCCGATCCCTCTGTTTTCCGAAAGCACAGGAGGAACCATCAGGGCCATCGGCCGTATGCCTGTAAAGAGTGTGGGAAAACATACACAGAGCTGAAGGACCTGAAAAACCATGAGCGCTCCCACACTGGAGAAAAGCCGTATCTGTGCTCAGACTGTGGCAAAGCCTTCTCTCGCTCCTCCTCTCTGGCTTGCCATCAGCGCATTCACTCTCAGAATAAACCCTATCAGTGTGAGCAGTGTGGCAAAGGCTTCACCCAGCTGTCCTCCTACCAGTCTCACCTCCGCACTCACTCCGGTGAGAAGCCCTTCCTCTGTCCACAGTGCGGCAAGATGTTTTCCGACCCATCCAGTTTCCGTCGTCACCAGCGAGCCCACTTGGGTTTCAAGCCCTACCCCTGCGATAAGTGTTCCAAGAGGTTCAGGCAGCCAGCTGATCTGGCCGTGCACGAACGTGTCCACTCTGGAGAGCGACCTTACAAATGCCAGAGCTGTGACAAGGCCTTCGTGGCATCCTGGGACCTGCGGCGTCACATGCTTGTCCACACAGGACTCAGGCCCTTTTCTTGCACAGAGTGTGACAAGTCATTCGCTGAGCGCTCCAGTCTCAACAAGCACCGGCGTGTGCACTCTGGAGAGAGGCCTTTCAAATGTGAGGAGTGTCTGAAGTCATTTGTTGTATCCTCAAGTCTTCGCAAACACGAGAGAACTCACCTAGCCGAGCAGTCCGAACAGCAGCAGCAGCAGGAGACGGAGGCAGGATCAGCTTCAGGCTTCACTCCCCACACGACTCTCCCTCAGTTCTCCTGTACACATTGTGATGCTACATTTGGAACCTGGGATGAAGTTCAGGCGCATGAAAATCTTCACTCCATCGACTCCGCTCCCCCGAATGTTACCAAAATTGTGCCACTGGGCTCACACGTCTGTGAAACCTGCCAGGCAGAGTTTGCACAGCTGGCAGATTTACAGGAGCACGAGAAGCAGCATCCCAAGCCGAGGCCTCATGTCTGCAACAGCTGCGGCAAAGGCTTCCTCAACAAATCTGGACTGCGTAAACACCAGAAGATCCACTCCACCAACAAACCCCACAGCTGCCCCCACTGCGGCAAAGCCTTTCTGTTTGCCGCCTACCTTCGCAAGCACTTACGGACTCACGCAGATGCTGCCCCGGCCTCCCAACAGCTCACTGACTTGAACATTATCCACACGGACCCGCTCCCCTCTCCTCCTCCCCCCAGTGAGGTTACCCCCTCCACTGTCGAACCCGGCGCCATATCCCTGACGGTCCCAGTGACTGTACCTGTGACTGCTTTTCAGACTCTGCCCGAGTACTTGGTGAAAGAAGAGGGACTGTAAGCTTTTTTTCCCTGTTTCAGACTTTGGGTTCCACAAACATTTAGACCCTTAATCTTTTGTGACGTTGGGTCTTATTTTGAAAAAAAAGAAAAAAGTATCGTTTTTCAAAATAACCTTTAAAAAAAAGTCAAAATAGGTTCTGCTACATTTCATTACACTGCTCTGTCACTGTTTTGTATTGCCATGATATTTGTTACATATGATGTTCATATTTTAAAATATACTCGCTACTATAATTAGCCGATAAAGTACCTGTCTTGTATGTTGTAATCTCATAAAAAAGTGTTGCGAACATACAGTAAATGCTGATTGCCATACAAT